CCTGCCCCATGGAGCAGCTGGGAGTTTCCAGCGGCTGGCCCTGTGGTTAGCAGCCCAACCTGTGACGCCAACAGGACTCCTAGTTACGTGGTAACAGATCTATTGAAACACAAAATACAAAGTCTAATGTTTTGTTGTCTTTTTGTCTCTGCCTATGTGATCTTGTTCCATGATCTTGAGATAAGCTATGTACCTCTTATGTAATAGTATTCTTCTGGTTATTGGCTGGATGAACTTCAGTGAATCCAATGAATGTCTGCCTCAGAAGAAGACCAACTGACCCTGGGCAGACAGGCTTAGAAGAATGCTACAGTTGGAAGTTGTCCACAGAGAATCCACCTCTGGAATATATTCATCCTTGAAACTGCTTAGTGCTTCCACAGATAAGGGGGCCCTATCCTTCTTGCTGAAAGAACAAGGCCTGATGGTCTAGTGGATATGTGTTGGGTTGCTAACTACAAGATCAGCAGTTCCAACCCACCAGCTGCTTCTTGGGAGAAAAAGGAAGCTATCTGCTCCTGTAGATTTACATTCTCAGAAACCCATGGGAGTGTTCCACTCCATCTTGCAGGGTCACTATGAGTCAGAATCCACCTGATGGCAGCTGACTTCATTTCTTGCCTCTTGGGCATAGGTGTTTGTTGTTTCTTATCATAGGACATCACGCACAGCCTCACATGTGACTGTCACCCAGTTCTTTTTACTTGTAGATGACAAAGCTAAATAGGGCCATAATTAACTAAGAATACCTTTTTAAAATAGAAAATTCAATAGGCATTAATTATAACAGTAATGGAAAGCTACATAGTTTAAAAACTTAGATCTTTGAATGTAAATGATTAACTCTATTTTGTAGGAAAACCTTAACTATCCTGTGTAATAGGACTATGTTCTGTATAGTAAACCAAGAAAGTATGATGAGGTTTTCCACTGCCATAAAGAGTTACCATCTCAGAAGCCCACAGGGGTTGTTGTACCCTGCCCTAGAGCGTCTTTCTGAGTTGGCATTGACTCCATGGAAATGAATTTGAGTGTATCAAATAAAAAATTTCTTAACATCTAAATTAAAGTTTATGCTCATCGGCTTGTTGTCAAAGAACCAAAATTATGTTTCAGTTTTATAAAACTAAAATTATGATATAATACCATGTATGTGGGAGTACTAGCCAATATTAGACAAAGAAAACATAAGGTTCCCCTAACTAGCATAATTTTCCAACTTAAAATCAGACACTTTATTAAAAATTTGTGGTCTTTTTCATAATCATAAAATTCTTTTAAGACTTTGTATAAAGTTCTAAATTGTCAGGTGCAGAGGGAGTTTATCATGCTCAGAACATTTTGTGATCCTTAGAAATTCATTTTTATGTGCTATTTGACATGAAACGTCAAACTGTTTATTAAAATGAGTTAACTTATAAGCTGTGATTCCAACACGCAGTAACCCTACATAGGAATTCCGAGGCCGTAACCCCTCTGGGGGCAGACAGCCTTATCTCTCTCCCGCACACCAGTTGGTGAATTTAAACCGCTGACTTTATGGTGAGCAGCCTAATGCCTACCCCGCAACGTTACCAAGGTTCCTTTATTACGCTCTTAGTGGCTAATGCAAAAAATATTAATCATAGCAAACAAAAATATTTTTAAACTAATGTTTTAATTTTCTTTGCCATTGTTAAATATTTCTCGGATCATACTCCTTATTTAGTGAATGCATTCACTGTTAGTCTCAAATACGATGGTATTTTTCTATTGTCTGTGGCATAAATTTAACTTCCCTTTGATGTACACCGTACTGTATACCCTCAAGTTTAGGTAGCTTTTACTATCTACTCTATTGTGGCATAACTAAACAGTCTATTTTAGGACAAAACAATCTTCTACCCCCCACCCCAAATTAACCTCTATCCTAATATATCTATCTGATTTTGTTTTCTTTTTCACATGTTGGCTTTATGACTTTTCTCCAGCTTACTTACAAGTCCTTCTTCTCCAACTAGGAGCTTTGCTTTTATCCTTTTTAATGATTGATCATCAGCTTTCTTTTTGATGTAAACTCAGCTGGTGAAGATTAAACGCAACTGGTGAGATGTTAAAGTTGAGTCATCGCTCTCCCGGGGAACTTTCTATGCATTTGAACTTTGCTGGTGTAATTCTAAGTGTCAGCTAAGACTTTGTCCTTCTCCCTGAGCACCTTCAGACTTCTTTTTTTTAAATCATTTCATTGGGGTCTCTTACTGCTCTTATAACAGTCCATACATCAGTTGTATCAAGCACTTCAGACGTTTTAGGACACTGATACACACATATGCACACACAGATGAACTGAACAGTTTTCACACACACGCACGCACGCGACATAAATGCCTAAATGGCAGCAAAAGCCTGCAAGATACTCAGGCTTGAAGACCAGGCATGAAAACCAGGAGCCGGAACCCAGAACAAAAACAGCCACAGACACACAAGGGGAGAGCTGGAAATTTGCTCATGGTAGGGTTGAGAGTGTGGAGTAAGGGAAAGCCCACCAAGTGGGAGAGGCATGGAGTGAGATGGGCAACACAGGTTATTTTGTCCCTGCACTCTAGATTCCTTCCCACCCCGGGCATGGCTGCCCATCTGCATCAAGGTTGTTACTAAGCAGAGGGAACACTCCATTAGAAGAAGAAGAATTATTATTATTATTGGTAGCAAATTATAATATATTGGTATATGATTAATATAATTATAATAATAATGGTCGCAAACACTCAGAACACTGCCGGGCCCACAGCAAGTGTATCCAAGAACTTTACTTATATGAGGAGGCTTCAAAAAGTCCGTGGCAAAATTCTATTCTGCTTCAATTTTTCCACACACTTTTCAAAGCCCCACATATCTGTCATTCAATATGTGCCATTTAAAAAAGTTTATAATCTGGTGTGACTGATAAAGTTGTTAGCCGTTATTACTAAAGAAAATCTTCAGAAATAAATGACCTCTCAGGTCCTTTTCACTCATTGACAAAGTAATGCAAAAGGAAGCCAGCCTTGTTATGAAGTGCGTGCATGCTATAGAAGGTGCAGATAAAACATCAGGTGGTTGACTTGAGAGCCTATGGACTAGGCCCTTCCTGTGCCTTTACTTGGGAAAAGATGGGGATTTCTACTCCCCTAAAGAGTGACAGTCTCAGAAACCCGAAAGAGCAGTTCTACCCTGTCCTAGAGGGTCCCTCCTAGGCGGCATCGACTGGCAGGGAGAGAGAGGGTGCTTCTGTTGATGCTATTCCTTGATCTGAATGACCTCCCTCTCTCCACAACACATGCATGTGTGCCCTTTGCTTCCTTAAGGACCACTTCATGTACCATTGCTTGGCCTCTCCCCATTAGAATTTGTTCTGTAGTCTTCTGATAGCACTTTATGAACCATGGTGTGCGTTCTGTACAATCATGGTACCTTAACTGTTTACGTGGTCTCCCCCATTCAACCTGAGGTTCTTGAGGACAAAGCCCTCATCTTCGTGTATCTGCTCAGCTTCTGACATCATTCTTGTCAATTTCCTCAGCTCCTTCGACTAAGAGGGAAAGCATAGGCATTTGAATACATGCATTACATGGTAGCTGTCCTATCTGCTAAAAGCCTCAACCAGAATCATAATACAGCTGGTAAAACCAAGCAGTTTCTTTCTCTTTGAATGTGAGTGTGTATTTTAACATGCATTTTATTGAAAAAAAAAACCCACTACGGGTGTGAGTGAAATAGATGTCGATTAAAATTAGGATCATACTGATCAGTCAGAATTCTGCCAGCTACAGCTGATGGACATCCTGAAGCAGCCCTGGAGGAATCCACAGTGGCTCTGGAGTGGGGCTCAGTGGCATTCAGAAACCCTGTGTGCTTGATGTGGGGGAGAAGGAGGTACCTGCGGGCCACTCGAGCCAAAGCCTGCTTAAGAAGTTGGAATTTTCACAGAAAGGGCAAAATACTGCTAACAGGTTTCAATATTCCGCACTTTCCTTTCAAAATAATTTAGCTGGTCTTGGGGTTCCGTAGGTAAAAGGATTAAATGGGGAGTGTGTGTAAAAATATTAAATGCATCCTCCCACCCCTGTTGACAAACCAAGCCCATTGCCATGGAGTCGATGCTGACTCATATAGGGCAAAGTAGAACTCTGTCCCATCGAGTTTCCAAGGCTGTAAATCTTTAGCAAAGCAGATTGCCACATCTTTATCCAGTGGAGCCCTAGTGGGTTTGAACTGCTGACCTTTTGAAAGCTGAAGACTTTAACCATTGTGCTGCCTGGGCTTCTTGCCCTGTTGTCAGAAGGCACTAAATAAGGCATTCTTGAAATGGGTAGAAAGGTGACTCTCATGTTTTCTCCCATTTAACCTTAGCAACTTTTCTCTTTTTAATTATCTGAGAATTGTGATGGACTCACTTAAAATTCCTTTCAGATAGTGCATAACCCATTTTTTTAGGTTTTAAAACAGTGATGCCTCTTTGATGCACATTTAAACGTGGGGGAATGGTTTGATGAGGAGAGCTTTCTTTATTCCTTTATTAAAGAGTTTCTGCCATTGATAATCGGTTGTAATCTTGAGTGGGAAAGGAGCTTGTGTTGGGGGAATTTTTTTCTTGGTGTTCATTTTTTAATGTACCATTTGGTAAAAGCTATAGAAATAAGCCAATTGGAAAAGCCAGAAAACATACATGATTTGCTTGAAGGGGGGAGCTTTCTTTATTCCTTTAGTAAAGGGCTTCTGCCATTGAGTTTAGATCACAAGATTTCATTCAGCTGCACCTTGAATGGGAAAGGAGTTTGTGTGTGTTGGGGTTTGTGTGTGTTTATTTTTTAATGTACAGTTTGGTAAAAGTTATATCAATAAGCCAGTAGAAAAAGCCAGAAATCATGTTTAAATGATTTGGAGTCATTTCTGAAGGCGTGCTTACTGGATATGGGAACCACAGATGAATGACAATGAACATAATTCCGTTTTTCTTTCTCTCTCCCTCCTCTTTCTAGATTGCCAAAATGCTCTGGAGTTTTTAACTGACGCTAAGGCAGACCCAGACTAGATTTGGAGACTGTAAAAACAGGAGCTGCAGCCAGGGGGCCTCAGTGCCAATGCATCAACCAAAAAGACAACCAGAATTAGTGGAAGGGTCCCTTCCTGTGTTTGTGTTTCCCACGGAGTTAATCTTTTATGCAGATGATCAGTCAACACATAAGCAAGTGTTGACGCTTTATAATCCCTATGAGTTTGCCTTAAAGTTCAAAGGTGAGTTGTCTAAGTCTCTTTTAAGGGTTTGACTCAAACTCCTCCCGGCCATTGAGTCCATTCTGACTCAGAGTGACCCTATAGGGCAGGGTAGAACTGCCCCTGTGGAACTGCCCCTGTGGGGTTCCAAGACTGTAACTGTTGATGGGAGTAGAAAGCCTCACCTTTCTCCCAGGGAGCTGCTGGTGGTTTCAAACTGCTGACCGTGTGGATTGTAGCCAGTGTGTAACCACTACACCACCAGGGCTCCACTATGGGTTTTAACTGGTCCCTGCTAATGTTAGACTTGGAGAAACAAATTTATTTTTTTAAAAAACACTAATGGCCATTGTGACTTTTTCTTTCAGTTTTGTGTACTACTCCAAATAAGTATGTTGTCGTTGATGCTGCAGGTGCAGTAAAGCCTCAGTGTTGTGTGGATATGTAAGTCAAAATCACTTCCTGGTAACATGTTTTAAGTGTGTTAATTTTTTTTAACTTGAAAGGGGGCCTTTCCTGAAGCTGCTTCTACATAGGCATGTCTTATAGTTGTGGGGTCTTGCTGCAAGTTTCAGTCTCTTATCCAAACTCTCTTAGAAAAGTCCTAAGCGCTTTCAAACAGGCCACCCAAGCCCTGCCTAATAGTTCATGAGATGGGCACTGATGTGTGTCTGGATGTTCCTGGGCACGTTCTCTCGTTGTGCTTCTACTGAGAACCTGCCATGCCTAAGAAAGTTTAGTTCTGATTTCATCACTTTCAAAGTTCCTCAGCTCATATTATAATCATAGGGAACTGTAGCTTTCTACAGAACATCCTGTTATTATAGTGACCTTTGGGGGAAGGTTACTAGTCCATAACTTAAAAACAATGATAATGTAAATCCAGCTGAAATGCTGCCACTCATAAGCTTGGGAGTTAATTTATACACACCAGAGGCAAGTGTGTAACTGCTCATCTGTAAAAAGCTTATCTGAATCCTTGAGTGTCAGATAAATAGGTATTTGGTCAAGCTGTGTGTATTTAATTTTCCCTTGTGAACCAGTGCTGACCAGATGGATCTCTTGACGGCTCCCTGGTGAGGGATGCTGAGTCAGCGGAGCACCTGGAGTTCTGAGAAGATAGGCAGCAGCAGGCTTTGTGCTAGAATATGTTTTGTTGACCCCACAGCACTGAACGGCTGTATCTCAGAGACCATCTTTTTGCCATTTCTCCCTCAGAAGACGTTTGTCGTGGTGAAAATACACCTCACAAAACATCTGCCACCTCAGTGCGTATGTCTCTGGGTGTTCACACTCAGCAGGCAGTAAGGACTGGTTCGAAGGTAGACAGTCACTTGCCAAAGGCATCTGTTCCCGTCCAGCGTTGTTTTACTCAATAAGCCGGGTAAACAGGGCCTGGCCTGTGTTTGCTTACTGACCTGTGGGGTACAATTTTTTCACATCCTCCCCCCACCCCCACCCCCGGCAGCTCCCAGGTCCTCTATAGCAAAGATTCTGCTTCCAGATCTGACTGCCATCGGCCTCTCTCCCAGTTCCACAGCACCTTCCTCCAGACTGAAAGCCTCTTTGCACATTTACAATCCCTAGGGACACGGGCGCCCATTCAACAAGGTAAGCATGGGCTCCCTTGTGCTTACGTACTGATCTGTTCCTTACCAATCTGTAGTGCACAGATCCCTCTGTAAGCAAAAAGAAGCCCATACTTACCTTACTTTTTGGGCAGTCCACCTCTGCCTTTCAAGCCACTTTTTGGTGTCCTCTAGGGCCGCTATGAGTCTGAGTCGACTCTATGGCAGCGAGTTGAGTAAGGACCTTCACCCCGACCCCCTTTTCCCCCCACATAGAAGTGTGTTGTTAGCTTTCTGTTGCATTGGTCATGGTGGCTTAATCCCTTATCCAATTGCTTATTTTTATTTGTGTGCATGGAATGCAGCCTTAAGTCTAAGAGGAGCTTTATAACTTGAAAAATAAATGGCAGCAGACATGTAGGAGGCTGTGGGCAAGAAACAAATTCAGGGACAACTTTCTTATGCTATCAGAGCCTGGAGCGTTCCCAAGACACCTTTCTTCGGCTGACATGGCGTAAAGCAAAGAGGCGATGATGATTTGATTTATATGGGAAAAGGTTTTGAGAATTCTCAGACACTTACCACCACCACCCCTGCCCCTTGAGAATGGCCTACACATCAGCCCACATAACACGTAACACTGGAAGCATCACCAGCATTGGAGTATTCACAGAGGCACTGCAAAGCCATGGTGGCATGTCGCTGGGCTGCTGAGTGCCCTTCCCAGAAGAACTTGGCAGTACCACACGGCTCCCTGCAAAGCAAATGCTGAGCAGCTCCATGCACGTTTGGCCTGTCTTATAAAAGCCAGAATGCTCTCTGGATTTCTTGCTGTTAGCAAAAATGGGTGCAAATGTAAGTAGGTGTTTTAGAGAAACAAAATGGCATAGAGTGAGCATTTAAAATGTGGAGGAGACTCGTATTCCTGTTGAATACATATTGCTGTACATAAATAGCCAGGGGGGGGGGGAGAAATCATTACCCAAAGGAATTTTTTTCTACCTACCATTCTGGAACCGAAGACCTTTTGATTGGTTCTAGAGTATGTGCTTTCATCAAATATTTTAGATTGACTTATTTTGAAGGGGGTTATACTGGGACCCCCTACACACACACACCCAGTCATTAGCAAATGTTTGTTAATCAAGTATTTGGTTGCCAGTGAATCATATTTCATTATATTGACTTCTCTTGCTGCATGCTGATTGACAGGCTCCCAGAAACCTAAACCGCCTTTGTTGTGTTTTGATGTTTCCAGTGTGATTCGTCATCGAGACGTTCGCACCTGCCACTATGGTGTAATAGACAAATTCCGGCTCCAGGTGTCCGAGCAAAGCCAGCGGAAGGCTTTAGGAAGGAAAGAGGTGGTTGCCACTCTTCTCCCATCCGCAAAAGAACAACAAAAGGAAGAAGAAGAAAAAAGAATAAAGGAAAGCTTAATTTTTGAGCAGTCGATTCAACCAGGTAGTTTGGGTTGGGTTGGAAAGCCCTTTTTGAGGGCTCCCATGGTTTCTGGCCTTAAAATAATCCAGGTGCTAAGAATAATTATGAGAAAACTAATCTGCCACTGTCAGCCCACTCAACCTATTCAGCTACTTCAAAACTTAACCAAGAAGTATTGGACATTGGGAGCAGGAAGTACCCCTCTCCAGATGAGGCTGTGGGGTGAGGGCACAGATCTTGGAAGTACCACCCACCACGGGGAGGGGGAGGGGAGTGCTTCCAAAAATTCATGGAACAAATGGAATTCTTCCACAAACATTTAGAAGCCCTCTCCTCATATAATAAAATCTGAGAGTGCAGGCACCAAACTATGACGCAAGTAAATTTGGCAGTTCCATACTTTGGCAGTTCCATTCTGTGACTTTCCTATATCCTTTCCCATTTAATTAGTTTGAAGGAGGAGAGAGATTGCGTTTGGCAATGGGCCAAGCTTGGTGTACTGTTCATATTATTTTGGGAAGAAAATCTCATTAAAGTTGAAGTTAATTAAACTAAGTAGATTATAATATCCCCTGTGGGCTATTAATTGGATCCCTCTCCATTCCTCATTTCCTTCCAGCTTAGATATTCCTGAGTGTTATGATATAGTCTTTCAACATTGACACTGCCCTCATATTCAGTTCTTTGGACATCCTGCCCCCTCCTTCTTCTCATTATCTTCTTCCAACCCACTTATAAAGGGGGCAGGATGAAATTTTCCATAGAGAAATATGGAAACTTTTAAAAAATGATATACATAAATGTGGTAGGTAAGAATGTGGTAGAGCAGCTGCCTTGATACTGTAACATTATATTTTAAGGATTAAAAATAATCTTGTTGCATTCATTCATGAGTCAATATCAATTCATTTGTCATAGACTGTTTTAATAAGACAAGGAGTAATGCCTCTGTGATTTACAGTAGCCAGGTTTCTTGGTTCATGTATGCTGTGCCCAGATTCTCTGGTGGAATTACTTTATCACCAGAAAAAGATAGAAACTAGGCCCTGGGCAGTAATTAGTAAATAGTTTTTTTCTCCTCAGTGACTCACCAACAAAATCAGCCTTTTATTTTTCCAGCCAAAGGGAACCCTCTGTCAAATGTATTTCGAAGTCAGATCAATATCGTGAGGTTGACTCACTTATGAAATGCAAGGTTTCCACTTTTAAATGCCTCTTCGAGAATAAGAACGGCAATCTTATGAGCATTTGGTTTTTGTCATTAAACAGACTGGTTTCGTAACCAGGAACAATGAGTTTAGGTTTAATTGTAGTGTGTGTCTGTGTACATACACATATGTATAGACAAGCATATATAATGCTGCCTGGTCCAGCACCGTCCTCACCATCTTGCTATGTTTCATCCCATTGTTGCACCCATTGCAGCACTCCATCTTGTTGAAGGTCGTCTTCGTTTTGAATGACTTCCTACCAGGTAGAATGTCCTTCCCCAGGGACTACTCCCTCCTGACAATATGTCTAAAGTAGATGATCTGAAGTCTCTCCATCCTTGCTTCTAAGGATCATTCTGGCTGTCCTTCCTCCAAGACAGCCTATGGTATATTCTGTATTCTTTGCCAGCAACGTAATTCAAATGCATCAATTCCTCCATGTTCTTTATTCATTGCCCAGCTGTCTCATGCATATGAGATTATTAAGAGTACTATGGCTTGGGTCAGGTTCACCTTAGCCCCCAGGGTGGCATCTTTGCCTCTTCACCATTGAAAAAGGGTTCATTGATAGGACCTGGGTGGTGTAGTTGGGCTGCTAAACCGCAAGGTGAGCAGTTTGAAACCATCAGGTGCTACTCAAGACAAAAAACGAGGCTTTCAAGTCCCATAAAGAGTTACATTCTTGGAAATCCATGGGGATTTTTCTACCCTGTCCTACAGGTTCTGTATGAATTGGAATTGCTTGGATAGCAGTGAGTTTGGTTTTTTTATGTTTGTGTAGCTGATTTCCCTATGCAACAGGTCATTTGATCCCTTGACTGCTGATTCCATAAGCTCTGATTGTGGATCCTAACATGAAATCCTTGAAAACGTCAACGTTTTCTCATTTGATCTTCATCATTTATGGTTCTAGCCCTCTTCATGTTCAGCCAGCAAGATTGTATCATCTGCATATCTGTAGGTTGTTGTCTTCCTCCAATCCTGACCCTGGACTTCCCATGATAAGAATTTTCAAGGCCAACTACATAAGCATCTGAAATACTGTTATTTCACCATCATAAATGGTGATTAAATACAAGGACTGGCTATGAGAAAGAATAGTATTTGGGGTTTTAACGGCTTGTCTTAAGCAAGCAGCCATCCTAATGAGGTGTCAACTAAGTCCTCATGGAAGAAGCACACCAGCTTGTGTGATCCAAGAATTGTAACTGATAAAATCCAAACCCAGAGGAGGGAATGGTATTAGAGCTTAAATTCTGAGCACTCAGTTTGCAGAAGACAAACCATTAAAATTCACTGACCCGTACTCCGATATAGTCCAGATAACTTCCCCATCTTTTCAATTGTCTGTCGTCAGTCTTTAGGCACAAGTGCACGAATATTGTCTACATTTTCATCCGTTTGGGAAGTTGGCGGACGTCCAGAGCAAGGTTTGTCATCAATCAACATTTCACCTTTTTTGAAATGAGAAAACCACTTGTACACTTGCATTTCCCCACACACACAATGCTGCCCTTGTAAGCTGTGTTCAATATCATAACAGTTTCTGTGGCACTTTTCCCGAACAGGAAACAAAATTTCACAGCTGCATGCTGTTTCTCTTAAATCAGCAATCACCAAAAAAATGAGGTTCAAGTGAAACTGCTTTTATGAAAACATTTGTTATGACCAGAAGGAACCTTCTCAGGCGATGCCACTGGGTGCACTAACTTTGAGCGAGATGCTTGATGCTTGCCTACTGGGAAAAATGCATACTATAAAGGCTCCACCCAGTGGAGCAATATTTGTTTGGGGGGGAGTACCCTCTCGTGTATGTGAATTGTATGTTGGTTCAATTGTTAAAACATAAACCAATTAATATTTAAAAAAATAAAAGGCAAGGGGCTAGCTGAAGAACAGACCTCCAGTTACTCCTATTCAAGTTCAACTTAAAGCTGAGTAGCATTGAAACAAATCTACAGAAGCCAAAGGGCAACTTTGGGTCTATCCCACCTGAATTTAGAAACCATCTCAAGAATCAATTTGATGCATTGAACACCAAAGGGCCTTCAAGGCATCCTACATGAATAAAGCAAGAGGTCATCGGAGAAAGACAGGAAAAAAGGAAGACAAGACCAAAATGCATGTCTAAAAGGACTTGCTCTAACATCGATGTTGAGTACAAAATTGAGTGAAGAGACGATGAAGTCAAAGAACTAAACACAAGATTTCAAAGAGTGGCTCGAGAAAACAAAGTAAAGTAGTACTGTGAAATGTTCAAAGACCTAGAGTTAAGAAACTAAACGCTAAGATATGCTGGGTATTTCTCTAGCTGAAAGAACTGAAGAGCACACGCATATACCACTACCCCTATTATTTTTCAATTTTTGTAGCATTCATGTCAAAATCACCTTTAAAGGACAAAATGACTGTGTGTATTTGTTGAGGGTTTTTTTTATCCTGTTGTTAATTTTATGGTGACCTTTTCGTATCTATTTCATCAGAATTCTTCTGATGTATAGAATTGGAGTAGATCAGCAAAGGAGGATAGCTGAGGTTGGCATGCCCTGTTTTGGTTTAGGGGTAAAACAAGTCTCGAAAACTGTGACATCAGATCCACGGAGGCAGGCACCTTGTCTTGTTTTCTCTTTAGCAGCCAGCGCATGCCTGGTTCAGAGTCGTCACACACAATCAATGTGTGCTGGATGTGTTGAGTTTGGAAGGTTGGATGAATTTCACATCTGGCAAGAGTCTGTTGGATCATTTTACTTTTGCCTGCTGGGCTTTTGTCATTTTCTAGAATAGAAACCCCAACCTTAGTCCTGACCAACCTATCCCAGTGTTCCCAGTAATATAGCAGTAACATATTCTTAGAGAATACAGTGGTGAGCAATTTAGTCTATGTTGACATGGTGATATTTTGAACTCCTATGAAATTAATAGGAACTTGATTGTGACTTTCAGTACATGGAATTTCAAAATTTCTCTTTTCGTTACGTTTTTCTGAACTGAAATGAAGAAACAAATTGCGATTTTTTTGCACCGTTCCCCCCCCCCAAAAAAAAACCATTCAACTGTCACAATCTACACAGGGCTTTCAGAAACATTAGTACAAACGCAGATGAGACTAATTCTTGTGATTCTCAGCTGGAAAATGTTCAGAGGCTACATCATGGTTGTTTTACACTTGAAAATGAATTGATTGTAAATGTATTGTATAAGAGACATTATGGAAAACCAAACTCATTGCCATCAAGCCAGTTCTGACTAGGCCAGTTCCTCTAGGAGCTGCTCCTGTGGGTTTCCAAGACTGCAACTCTTTAAGGGAGTAGAAAGCCTCCTCTTTACCGTGCGGACTGGCTGGTACTTTTAAACAGCTGGCCTTGCGTTTAGCAGTGCCACATGTAAAACGTACTGCGCCACGAGGGGTCTCGAAGAGACATTTATAGCACTCACAAATGCAGGAAAAGCACTTAACAGATCTACTTGTGTAATTGTTTCATGTTACTTTCCAGGCCTTTTCCATGTGCCAAAATATAATTGTATAGTTCTTGCATTTTGTTTTTCATTTAACAGAAATATAACTAAAAGAAACCCAGTAAGTAGCTTTCACAAAACAACAAAGCCCAGGTTAATAAAAAGATGTTTTCAAAGATACAGCTTGTCTTAGTAGGTTTGCCTTAATTACATTATTAATGAACTGCTATGAATATTTGAATTTGTGCCTGCCCTCTGGCTTAAGAAAATTATACTCTTTATTATTATTTATAATAAAAGATTGAAAATGATCTCAAAGTCCATCTATTGGGTTCCGAGTAAATTAGGAGTACCCATAAGCTAGATTATCAGTCTAGAATACAAGATCTGATGGTAATGTGTCAACATAGAAAAAAGTTCAAATAGATTTCCATGTGAGAAAAAAATACACTGAACCGTATGAATAGTATAATTCCCATTTATGCCACAAAGAAATGTCATACGCTTTGTATGTGAAATGTATAAAATTTGTCAAATCTATAAAGATTTTTTTAACCTGTAATTAAAAAATGCATGAGTGTGTGTGTGTGTGTGTGTGTACTCAGATAATCTGAAAAGATCTATGCCAAGCTGTTCAGTGTTACCTCAAGGAAAATAAGATCATGGAGGAAGTTTTGCTTTTTCTGGGTCTTTGTAAAATTGTTTGCTGCAATTGTAGTACCAGGGGTGGGGAGAAAACGATTTCTATTTTGAAAACGTTCAAACATTTATACAAATGGGTTTGAAGTTTCCTTTCATGCTAAAAATTCCTAGCAATTACCTTAATTCGTGTTTTGGTGGTGGGGGGGTGAGCAGTTTGTAGTGACTATCACGTTGTCCTTGAAAATTCATTCTTTTAACAAGTAATGATGACCAAGGTGCTAAAATAAAGGCATTTTTTAAAAAGGTATTTGTGTTATTGCTCCATCACAAGAAATAATCACTCTAATGCTGAATTGGTCTCCAGCTCTCTGGCTCTGATGATTATTAAGTTATTAATAATTTAGAAAAGCTGTGCTTAATAATAAAATGAACAGCATTATTTCATCAATAAAACACAAAATTTGTGTTGCTGTTGGCTATTCCTTTTAATGAAAGGACGCCTACTAGGAATTAGGTTTCTTAAAAACTTGGGCATGTTCATTGTACTCCTACAGCCAGAACTGTTGATAGAAAAGTGGGCATGGTAACCAAGTTTATGAGAACTTTATTTGCCAGATAAGATCTCTGGTGCTTTCTTCTTTGTTAGTAATGAGGTTGAGGAGAGAGAAAAAAATTTCCCAGCAGCTTTTATAAGCACTCAAATGATATCTTTTTTGTTACTTCACATTTGTAAAAACGGAGCCAGCCCTGTCTTGAGACCTATTTAAGAGACTTCTAGAGAGAAATGGAACTCCAGTGCGGTGAGCTCCCAAAATGGAGTGCACTCCAACAATCCCTTGGAGTATGGGGAAATAGCAGAGCTTCAAGTGCTGCTGCTGCTTAGCATATTATTGCTCCGTTCTCTTGGTATGTTTCAGATGAGACACACTGATAGTACAGTAGCGATAGATATAATTTACAAATCTACAGACATTGATCATATGTGCTCAAGCTCTTCCTACTGATTAGGGTGGGTGTGCCGAAAAGGCTAGTGACCACCGCCCTTTTCAGTAGGGACTGTAGGGTGCCCGTTTCCACATTCCATCCCATAATGACTCTGAGTTAGGGGCTTCCAGATCAAACTAGTCGAATCTTGGTGAGTGGTGGACAATATTTGTAAACCTCTTTTGGCCTTAGGTTGTTTTAAGAAGCAAACTCGGGTATTTTGTCTTTTTGCAGAAAACAAAGTAGTCTCCTCGGGCCCAAGCTTCCTCACTGTCTTCCTGGGAGTGGTATGCATTGCAGCCCTGATGCTTCCTACACTGGGGGATGTGGGATCGCTGGTGCCTCTCTACCTCCACTTAAGTGTGAACCAGAAATTAGTGGCTGCTTACATTTTAGGTAAGTGTCTTCCGTCTGGCTGGCTTCTTGTTATTAGGTTTCTTGTTATTAGGCTGGTTTCTTGTGCTTCTGACTCAAAGCGATACTATGTACAATAGAATGAAATACTACCTAGGTCTACACCGTCCTCAGAGTCTTTGCCATGTTTGAGCCATGGTGTCAGTCCATCTCACTGAGGCTCTTCCTCCTGTTGTCACTCACTGCCTCTCTGCCTTACCAAGCATCATGTCTGTTTCCACGGACCAGTCTCTCCTGATAACATGTCCCTAGTATGTTAAGACCAAGTCTCACCATCCTCAAATCCAGGGAGCATTCTGGCTGTACTTCATCCAAGTAGACTAGGTCTAATGTATGTGTGGGTTGGCCACAGCACCTATTTAGTTCTTTACAGCTATTTATCTATTATCTGATACTGGAAGCACACTGGGTAAGGGTTGGTTTACTAAGCAGAAGGTTAGCGGTTCAAGATAACCTGGGAGAATGTAGTTGGCTTCTCCAGGAAAGATTCACAACCTTAGAAACCCTAGGGAGTATATTTCCTCTTTCCTCCGGGGTGGTTATGAGTCAGAATTGAGTTGAAGGCAGTGGGTCGAACACTCTTCTTTAGTCAACGGTTTTCCTTTTATGGCTTTACAGTGGTGTGAAATATGTCTGTAAAATGTGTATATTTCAGGATACAGCATTTCTACTCTTTGGACTTGGTCCTTGGAAGCCACTTAACAAAGCACCTACGGTGATGCAGTTGAGCCGTGTGGCCATGCTTATCATGACGAGCCCTTCTCTGAATCAAACCCCTCACTTCCTGTTAAATCCTTCTTTCCTTCCTTCGCGGAACCTGTGGGAGCCGGAACTAATGGGGCAGCGTTGTTTTTCGAGGTCCCACAAGTTTAACCCCACCCACTCTGGGTCACAGATTAGGGTTGTCATGACGACTTGAAATGCTCACTTGGGATTCTCCTCGGACTCACTCAGCACTCACCAGTTCTTAGGTACCAGCCTTCCTCAGTGCTTCGTTCTCTTTGGTTGCCTCGCTCTTTTGTAATTTCACCATGTCTGCCAAATTGTCTGTCTACCTCTCTGTGTCCCCTATCTCCCACTCTGCTGCTGTCCCATTGACAGCATTCTATTCTGTTTTGGTGTCCTCGCCACTGCTCAGTCCGAACCTTTGAGTAGTTTTCCACTGTCCATAGACTAAAGCACAACCCCATAGCTTGGAATGGAAGACTGCAATCGGTTTGAGGGCTCTCGGAGCCCATTTGGTCCAGCTGCTTCCCTGTACAGATCCTCAATTGAAGTCCAGGAAAGCTCCTGTAGAGCTCTGGGCCGACGCCCATGCTCTTCTCACTGCCATGGTGTCCATTTGGACTCATCGCGAGTCTGGAGCAGGGCACCACTGCCCTTGTGAGTTCCTGAGACTGGTGCTCTTTACAGAAGCAAAATGCTTCATCTTTCTCTTTCGGAGCTGCTGGTGGTTTCAAACTGCTAACCTTGCAGTTAGCAACCCAACATGGAATACACTGTACCACCAGGGTTCTTATTCCCCCATGTTCTTATTCTTGCACGTCCTCACCTCAAACACCCCCTCATCTCTTGGTTTTCTATGTCTTTCCTCCAAGGCATCTCTCAGCTTTTACCTCTTTGGGGCATCTTTTTGGACTGCTCAGTCCCAGATAATTAATCTTCACATCTCATTTTCTGTACTGTTCTTGTAGGACTTAGCATATGCTTTTATTATTAGATTGCCATGGTGTCAAAAGAGATGAGCGGAGGAGGAATACCATGCCTCTGTTGGTGACCCTCGGGCCCTGAAATACAAATAGGCCCTCAAATGGTTTTGTTGGTGACGTCTGCTGGCTTTACCGACACGTTTAAATGGCATGTCTGCTATCATTAAAGCTGATGCTACCAGATAAAGTACGAGGTATATTTGATGGTTAAATTAGTTATGGCCAGACATTAGTGCCGTAATGCAATCTCTCCAGTGACTGCCCTTTGCTTTAAATTGGATTTCTTCTGTAAAATATCAACTAAATTCCAATTGACTTTGAGTTTTTGGTCAAGTGCCTGTTTGTATGAGGTATTTTATTTGCTCGTTGAGGTCTAAACAATTACTTACTGAATGGCAGGTTCTGTGAAATGCATTTTCTTTTACCATTTTTTCCATTTTGTTTTTCTTTCAGGTCTTATCACAATGGCTATACTCAGAACATGAGCGAGGGCCTCAGTTGACCTCTGAAGTGATTTTTATCTTCGAAACATCATGAATGTGGACTGCCTTTTATCTGTCTCACTCCATTAACACGCGACAAACTATTGAATGATTTCAAATAATTGCAAATGGGAATGCATATTTTAAATTACTCTTAATCGTTTTATTTGGAGAATTCCAACAGCTATTTCTGAGGGACCCCCTCTGAAATAATTTGAAGAAATATTTTTTATATATCTATCTCAGCCTAATGTGCAAAAAATTTTAATTCAGACACCTGTTCCTTTCTCTTTTTCCCGTCCACTTTGATTAACCCTTCAAAGTTGAAGGCTGAGAAGAGCAAACTTGACCCACTGAAAAACAAAGTCATGTCAATTTCCTAGTTACCAGCATTAATGATCTTCTGTAAACTATGGCTTGTCCTCTGCCGTGATAGGAGCCCTGGGGACACAGTGACTGCTATGTAAAAGGGCGATGGCTTGAACCTCCCAGGCCCTCCGCAGGAGAAAGATGTGGCAACCGGTTTCCATAAAGAGGGTTGTGCTGTTCCATCAAATCGGTTCTCACTCGGAGGGACATGATGTGCAGTGGAATAAAGCACAATGGTTCCAACTCGTCGTGACCCTACGTACAGCAGGACGCTCTTGCGCTATCCTCAGAGTGGTGGCTGTGTTTGAGCCCATGGTTGCAGCCACAGTGTCCTTCCATCTCCTTAAGGGGCTTCCTCTTTTTCCCTGCTAGTCCTGCTTTACCAAGCATGCTGTCCTTTTCTAGCGACTGATCTCTTCAGGCCCAAAGTACGTGAGACAAAATCTCACCGCCCTGGATTCTGAGTCTAAGGTGCATTCTGGCCGTTCTTCCAAGACAAATTTGGTGGTTCTGTTGGCAGTCCGTGGTATTGCCAATATTCACCAGCGTCATAACTCAAGTGCTTCCATCCTTCTTCAGGCTTCTTCATTCATTGGCCAGCTGCTGCATGCATGTGAGGCGATTAAAACCACCAGCGCTTGGCCTGTCACGTGCACCTTACTCCTCAAAGTGACATCATTGTTCTTTTGCTCTTTGACACTTTGAGGATTTTAACCCGGTAAAGCCTGCGGCTTTGAAAACCCAGCGTGGGGTGTTTTTACTCGGTCTTATAGAGCCACTGGACTCGGCAACAATGGGCGAGGTGTGATTTTCTCCGTCATTATAGATAGTGGTCATGGTGTTACTAGCACAACACTTTTGCAGTTAATGTGTGGAGAGTAGCTTTAAGGGGAGCATTCTTATCCTGGGGTCTCACAAAGGACAGGACATAGTAAATGTTTCTGATGAACTACAGAATAGGTTGCAGTCCTGACACCAAGCATGTAGGCTTTTATAAAAACCCAACAGAAATAGAGTGATTTCCCTGTCTGATCTAAGGGTTCTTCAGGAAGGGAGGCATTTGTTTAGTCATGCTAATGGAGGCCAGAGGGGGAGGAGGTTCCCTTCCCTCCCTAGTCCCTTGCCTAAGGTGACCAGATTTTGACATTGGTAAAGTGGGACACCATTGATAAAACTCATATCCTGGAGAAATAGCCACATGGCAGCCGAAAACTGTATACCCTAGCTTGTCGTGCATTCTTTCCAAAAATTGGGATTTTTAAAAAATGCTGCCGCACGCGGGGAAAATTGTTAAAAATCAGGACTGTCCCACCAAAAGCGGGACGTCTGGTCACCTTACCCTTGCCTGACCCACTGTGAGTGGTTTGCCCAAATTGGAATCACCAGACTCCTTGTGGTCTGTTTGGGGCTTGGCCTCCTCCTTTACATTCAATGCCAAGTCAGAAAGGGCTTGCTAGCTCTATTTGCTATCAGCCGCTGAAACATTTTTTTAAAAGTTTTTATTTGTTGTTAAAAAACTTTACCAAAAGTCCCTAAGCACAACTATTTAACAGGTCTTTATAGCCTCTTCTGATCTCTAACATATATATATGAGATATATGTATATAACACAATACATATATGTATGCGGTTTTGTTATTTTTCCCCATTCAGATTTTTTTCTTTTAATCATTTTATTGGGGGCTCATACAACTCTTATCACAATCCATCCGCCCATCCATCCATTGCATCAAGCACATTTGTACATATGTTGCCATCATCATCTTCAAAACATTTCTACTTGAGCCCTTGGTATCGGCTCCTCATTTTCTCCCCTCCCCACCTCATGAACTCTTGCTAATTTATAAATTATTATTTTTTTCATGTCTTACACTGACCAGTCTCCCTTCACCCACTTTTCTGTTGTCCGTCCCCCAGGGATTATATGTAGATCATTGTGATCAGTTCCCTGTCTGCAGTTTGAACTTATCGCAGTAGCTAATCTTTTGCCTTAGAATTTTTATCTGAGAGCACAATGCATTAATAGTCTTGAAGATCATGTTCCAGATCTTTTTACAGAAGGAATGTATGCACTGCAAAGATACTACTCTCAAGGACTATATGTAAAGTCAAAAGTGGATGCCCGAAATTGGCCTCTGCAGAAAACAGTGCTTTGCTTCTAACAGTGTACTTTTTCATAGGAAGTCCTCATTGTTTAATCATGTGAGGAGCACAAGTCTTTCAGTGAATCGGATTCTCTACATTGTGTAATGACTGAAAAGCACATACATGTAATGGACTTTGGAGCTTTGTTTAAAGACAAACAATGTTTGGAGACTATCCTTGCTTCTCTATCCATCTCAAGTCCCGTGAGTGTGCAAGTGGATGCACGCGTGTGTCTCTGTGGGTGACAGCACATTGTAAAGGACAGAAATTACTTAAAATAAAAGAAAATACATTGACTGACATGTTCATTTGTGTTTCCTCAGAGGGGCTCACAGTTTTGCTTTTCAATTTCCCACCCTTGTGTCTCGTGCTCCTGTGAGTTCAGTCGGAAAAATAAGAGTGAAGTAGGTGAGCCAGAACTGTTTTGACTGTCCTAATTTACCAAGGGACATGACTCCTTTCATATAAATTCTGTTTTTAAATAGGTAACAGTCACATACCTCAAAAATAAAACCCTAGAATACACTCATTCTTGTGCTTCTACATACAAGTAGATGGCGCTGTGGGGATCTAGTGGGTTACCAGTTGGGCTGCTAACTGCAAGGTCAGCAGTTCAACATCATCAGCTGCTCCGAGAAAGCAACGGGGCTTTCTACTTCTGTAAAGCGGTATAGTCTCAGAAACCCACAGGCCGAGAGAGTTGCTATGAGTCCGAATCAACTCAGTGGCAGCGCGTTTGATTTTGGTTGATATATAAGTGGTAACACATTCTATAGTATACTGTCTAATGCCTAGCTTTTTGTCAATCCATTTTTATGAGGATTTCATTCTTTTTATGAACATCTTGTCGCAGCAGAATCTTACCACTTCCCTCTTGACCAATTCCATCAGCCATGTACAATAGTGCCTCTTCTCCCATGGGTTTTGCCAATCTAATCTATGAGATAGAATATCACAGTATAGTTTTGATTTAGCTTATTATAAGTGAGTTTGAGCATCTTCTCATAGAGCTATTAACTCATGTCCTTCCCCATTTTCCCCCTTTAGTTGGGTGGCTGGTGTTTTTCTTAGTGGTTTATTCTTTCTGCTATGAGTTGCAAATATTTCCTTCCAGTTTATATTTTTTCTTTTGGCTTTGCTTATGTTTGTTGTTGTTAACAACCATACTTGGCTAGTTGAATGTATGGAGCTGTTTAGGTTCTAAACTTTGAATCATGGTTAGTAAACTCCCAGGTTACAAGTTATAACAGCTATGTAAACACCGGGTAACTAGAATGGGAGTGGGTAAGCCATGTACAATAGCAGAAAATACTTAAGACCCAAGGTGTAAATCTTTCTAAAAGTGTCCAAAACCCTTTGTAAGGGAAACTGGAAATGCAAAAGTCAATTTGAACAAATGGAAACACTCTCTGAGATATTCTTGGATATGTTCTCTCAACACCACAAAGCTCTTTGGTGTGAGAATACACACAACAAAGCATATACCACTTCAAAGTTTTCTCTGTGTATAATCCAGCGCCATGGGCCACCTTTCTCAACAACCTTTTCCTGTTCCACCGTCATTAGCAAATTCATTGACCCCGAGCTTCTCATCAATTTTTTGAGCTGATGTTATTTGATCACACGTAGATAATTACTTAAAGGAACATAATGCTTAAGGCAGACATCCGTTTCCAATGACCATGGGGCTTCAAAAAGTCCATGGAAAAATGGAACTGCACGATAATAGAAATTTTCCTTGAATTTTTTGAAGCCCTCTCATATTGTTTGGCTCTAAGATTAGGGAATAGCTTTTAAAAAGGTTTAAAGAATTCCTCGGGGTAGTACCATTTCCCCGAAAGTAAGACCTACTTACAGTTTTGCCTCTTGCTGAAATATAAGGCATCCCCCAGAAAATAAGGCCCCTCGAAGCTACCGTAACTCTGGACTCTGGACTGTAGGGGGGGCCCTGCCGCGCAGCTCACTGTTGGCCGCAGCGCAGCCGGCGCAGACAGGAAGTGTGAGGTCTCTTGTAGAACAATGAACAATACATGTGTACCGTATTCTTCTTCATGGAAAAATAAGACATCCCCTGAAAATAAGACCGAGTGCATCTTTGGGAGCAAAGATTAATATAAGACACTCTTATTTTCGGGGAAACAGGGTAATGGCTATGAAGGGCAGAGACGATTGTTAAACCAGGGCAACTGGTCGCAGTGGGTGAATGCTGCTGTGAAACTGGGCACTGTACCACCAGGATCACCCACGGTGGACAGGTTTCTGTGGGACTTCCAGACTCCCAACAAACTTGGAAGAAGGACCAAGTCATCTACTTCTGAAAAACCCTGGCCAGTTAAACACTGGATAGCAAGAGAAGTCTGCCCCGGTGCTCACTGATGAGCGCCTCTGCTTGGAAGGAACTCAAAACACAACTGGAGAAGAGTTGCCTCTTCAAAGTAAAATTTGTCTTAATGACATGGTTGGGGTAAGGCTTTGATAATGTAGTAAGCCTCAAAATGAGGAAAAAATGCCTCTATTAGTAATTGGAACATTGAAGATATGAAATATAAATCTAGGAAAACTGAAAATGGTCAGAAAAATAAATGGAATGCTTGAAAATTGATGAGTGAGCTAGACATTAGCTGAAATGAAATGAAAATTGGCCATTTTTTTTTTAAATCATATTGGAGCTCTTACAACACTTAATCACAATCCATACATCTATTGTGTCAAGCACCTTTGTGCATACCCCGTTTCCCCAAAAGTAAGACATCCCCCGAAAATAAGACCTACTTAGAGTTTTGCCTCTTGCTGAATTAGAAGACATCCCCCTGAAAATAAGACCTCCCTGAAAATAAGGCCCCCCAAAAGCTACCGTAAATCTGGACTCGACCCGTAGCAGCAGGTGCCGCGCAGCTCACTGTTGGCTGCAGCACAGCCGGAGCAGACAGGAAGTGCGAGGTCTCTTTTAATAAAACAATAAATGTGTACTGTATTCTTCTTCATGGAAAAATAAGACATCCCCTGAAATAAGACCTAGTGCATCTTTGGGAGCAAAAATTAATATAAGACACTGTCTTATTTTCAGGGAAACAGGGTAGCTTTGTGGGGGCTTTTAGACC